CAAGGTACGGGCTCCATGCTGGGGCCGCATACTCCAGGATTGGTCTTACATATGTGGTGTACAAGATTCTGAATGATTCCTTACACAGGTTCCTGAACGCTGTTCTGATGTTAGCCAGCCTCGCATATGCCGCAGACGTTATTCTTTTTATGTGGGCTTCAGGAGACAGGTTTGGTGTGATATCAACTCCTAGATCTTTCTCTCTGTTCGTTTCATTAAGTACTTCATCTCCTATTCTGTATCCTGTGTTAGGCCTCCTATTTCCACCACCTAGTTTCATTACTTTGCATTTACTCGGGTTGAACTTCAACAGCCATTTGTTGGACCATTCACTCAGTCTGTCTAGGTCATCTTGTAGCCTCCTACTATCGTCCTCAGTTTCAATCCTCCTCATAATTTTTGCATCATCGGCAAACATTGAGAGAAACGATTCTATACCCTCTGGAAGATCATTTACATATATCAGAAACAGTATAGGTCCAAGGACTGACCCCTGCGGTACTCCACTCGTAACGTCTCGCCAATCTGAGACCTCACCCCTCACACTGACTCGTTGTCTCCTGTTACTTAGGTACTCCTGTATCCAACGGAGTACCTTCCCTTTCACTCCAGCCTGCATCTCCAGTTTTTTCACTAACCTCTTGTGTGGCACTGTGTCAAAGGCTTTCTGACAATCCAAAAATATGCAGTCTGCCCACCCTTCTCTTTCTTGCCTTATTTTTGTTGCCTGGTCATAGAATTCAAGTAACCCTGTGAGGCAGGACCTGCCATCCCTGAATCCATGTTGATGCTGTGTTACAAAGTTCTTTCGCTCCAGTTGGAGAGCGGGAGGCACAGTTCCTCTGCTCCTTCCTTTAGTATCCAAGGGGAGATTCCATCTGGACCTATAGCCTTTGTCACATCCAATTCTAGTAAACACTTCCTTACTTCCCCGCTGGTAATCTCAAACTCTTCCAGTGGTCCTGGTTAGCTATTCCCTCTCTTATCTCTGGGATTTCTCCTTGCTCTAAGGTGAAGACCTCCTGGAATTTCTTATTCAGTTCCTCCACACACTTCCTTGTCGTTTGTAGTGAATCCTTCTGCCCTAACCCTTAATTTCATAACCTGTTCCTTTACTGTTGTTTTTCTCCTGATGTGGCTATGCAGCAATTTAGGCTGAGTCTTTGCCTTGCTTGCGATGTCATTTTCGTATTGTCTTTCTGCCTCTCTTCTCATCCTGACATATTCATTCCTGGCATTCTGGTATCTTTCTCTGCTCTCCAGTGTCCTGTTATTCCTATAGTTTCTCCATGCCCTTTTACTTTGCTGCTTAGCTAGCCTACATCTCTGATTAAACCATGGGTTTCTCATCTTCATTTCACTGTTTTCCTTTGGGACTGGGACAAACTTGTTTGCTGCATCCTTGCATTTTTGCGTGATGTATTCCATCATATCTTGGGCCGTCTTTTCCCTGAGCTCTGTTTCCCATGCTATATCTGCTAGGCATTTTTTATCTCCTCATAGTTTCCCTTTCGGTATGCTACCCTTTTGGTTTCGGTATCCTTCTCGAGTTCAATAACCCCTTCTTCAATCAGGTACTCAAACACCAATACACTGTGGTCGCTCATTCCTACTGGGTCCTCAAAACTGATTCTTTTATGTCACACCCACACACACTTATGTGTGTGTGGGTGTGGGTGTGTGTGTGTGTGTGTGTGTGTGTGTGTGTGTGTGTGTGTGTGTGTGTGTGTGTGTGTGTGTGTGTACTCACCTAGTTGTGCTTGCGGGGGTTGAGCTCTGGCTCTTTGGTCCCGCCTCTCAACTGTCAATCAACTGGTGTACAGGTTCCTGAGCCTATTGGGCTCTATCATATCTACATTATAAACTGTGTATGGAGTCAGCCTCCACCACATCACTGCCTAAACCATTCCATTTACTAACTCGCCTATTTATTCCTGCAGGGTCGAGCTCTAGCTCTTGGACCTCGCCTTTCGAGCCGCCGGTTATCTAAAGCAAGACTCCTGACCTATTTCCCTATGATGTATACTGTTAAAATAAGGTATGGAGTTTAATGCTTCCACAAGCTGCTGCTTTAATTCATTCCACTTCCCCACTACTCTCACGCTACGTGAAAACTTGGTAGCATCTATGACTGATCTCAGTCTCAAGCTTCCAAACCCTGCCCCCCCATCCTTGTTCTATCTGTAGTCATTGTGAACATTTCCTCCATTTCCACTCTCCGTTAATCTCCGTAAGTATTTTTATGTCTCTATCATGTCTCGTTAGTGTCACCAGGATCATTTATTTCAGTCTTTCTTCATATCCCATCACTCGTAAGTCTGGGACGAGACTCGACGCAAACTTCGGAACCTTTTCCAGTTTCCTTATGAGTTTCTTCAGATGGGGACTCCATGATGAGGCGGCATACTCTAAGACTGGCCTCACGTAGGCAGTGTAAAGAGCCATAAAAGCCTCCTTACTGAGGCTTCTGAATGATGTTCTAACTTTTGCCAGCGTAGAA